CGTGCATATCTAAAATAAAATATTTATTTATCATTTGTCATTTAAAATACTATTTTAATCAGCTCTGAATGGAATAGTATTTCTAAATTCTTGTAAAGTTTGTTATAAGTGCATAAAAATCCGCAGTCTAATAGTAACTAAAAAATTATAATTGTTTAATTATTAATCAGATTACTTTTTGCCCAACATTCTTGTAGACCTATTAGCTTTTCTGTTGTTCCTATCGTAACACAGCTGTTTATTTTACATGATTTTCAAGAATTCAGTAATTGGGTTAAATTCTCTGGGTTAGAATGACCCGGTCATCGTAGTCCGAGAGTTAAATGTTATAGGTTGGAAAATATTTCAAGTGGTAATGTTGTTTGGTTTACTTTGTACACGTATATCAATGGGAATGATTTTTCTTCACGCTTTGACTGCCACGTCACCCTTATGTGAGTGGCGAAATTATTTGCTCAGACTTGAAAATTAATTGTTACACTAATCTATTATATCTTCTTAATTCTATTCGGAGTCGCAAAACATAAGGATATTGACGTCAAATTAATTGACGTCGTACATCTTTACTTCTCGATAGTAATTAGATTCAATGAAGTACTTTAATTGTGCGAAATTTTTAAGTTTGTTGGCGCGACAGTCAAAGCGTTAAGGGGATGTTCTAGTGTAAATTATGTTTGGGTTCAACTTTCTTTGGAACTTTTTTGCGAAGTAACTATAACACTTCTCGCAGTCACATTTACAAAGTTTATGCATGCATGTTTCAATAATATTTACAAACTTTTTAGGGTAAAAGAAGTTAAAATTAATGGTATTGACTTACTATGAAACTTAGTCGAATTTCAGAAAGATCGTCCCATAGTGACCATGATTGCTGCTATTTTGTTTATCTGAAATGAAAGAAAACATACAAGATTCTCAATGAGTATTAGTTTGACTACAACGGGTACTAGAACGAAAGAAAAAGTCAATAATTAAAGAAAATGGTGTCACTTCGAAATTTGATTATCGATTTTTCCTACTACTTTTTCAATATTGGGACCCTAAAATCATGTAAAAAATACAAATTTTGGGTTGGTTCTAATACGAGTTGTAGGCATAAGTATACTGAATATGCGCCTAAATTTTGTGATATCGTGGCCACCGTTTTGAAAAACATAGATTCGAGAAAAACACGTTTAAAGTTTTTATGTTCCATTTATACTAGTGTTTAATATTTTTGATTTACCAATACTGATTATTGATATTACGAGTATCATACTTTGTTAATTTAATAACTTTGTTAATTTTAAGAATTTGGACCACATATTGTCTTGTGGCCATATTTTTGAATTATTCTTCAAGAAAGTGGAAAAAAGTGATGTTCTCATAAGTTCACACTAGAATACCCTCTTTAAATCTCCACTTTTAAATAGAAACAATAATCACGAAACAGCGGATCATTTGATAAATATACGCATAGCGAGCACAGAATCCATTCGGAGTTTTATGACAGCTGTTCCATACTTTATCGGCACACTATCTTTGGCTCCCTGCAGAAATATAACTGAGATTCGGCGTGTTCGATAAACATATTCTTTTATTTATTATTTATTTATTTGTTTACTTAATGTCGCATCTGCTTAGCAGCAATTAGCGACCACTTGTGGAATTACAATTGTAGAGTTACATGGATTTACATATGTATATCCTTCTTAACGAGTTAGCTGTCTTTCATGAGTATACTTGCCATGAAGAATTGGCGACATTAAATGATTAAAATTATTGCACAAAAAATAAAATGCCTAAATTGCTCCTATTTTTTGCGACAGGCGTTTTAGTTAACACATTTCTTATCCAAAACGCTTTATTTCTGATTATATTCGACCGTTCCAGATCTTTTGGGGTTCAAAGGTTATACTAACCAATTTAAAGGTTATTATAACCAATTACCATGATTATCCGAAATTCCGACACTTTCATTTATTTTAATGATAGTCGTAATAATATGGCAAAGAATTATAAACAACAAAATTTTATATAATACAACACTTGATATTATTTTCATAGAATAAAACTATTCGAATACTCCATTAGTTTACTGCAAATTCCATAAATAATTATTAAAACATATTAGTCGTGTATTTTCTGCGAACGGTATCTTTCGCTTGCTGATATGGTTAAGAAATTGAATCAATGTAAATGGCCATAATTTGAAATAGTTAGCTTTCAGTCGACTAAAATAGTGTTTTTATATTATATGAATTATTAGATTTTATAATGAAAGTATAAACATTATTTTTAGCAGTTTTAGAATAAATAGAGCAATCTATAACTGGTACACGTTTGTGAACTCTTATCCTATTATCGACATTTCGTAATTAATGTGTATAACCTACAAAGTAGAAGTATTGACTGTATTTATACCCTATGTTTAATACAATTTATATATATAGTCCTTACACGACAAGAAGGCACCTTTATGTTTACATTCCTCCTCTTACTAGCTGCCCCACTGCCGCAGCTAACGGTCGTTATTGGTCGAAAACGGTGACGTAATAAGTGGGGGAATGTAAACACAAAGCTGCCTTCTTGTCGCGTGAAGACTATATTTTAATAGTTTAGTTTCAATTGGATAAGTTATCAGAAATTTAATTTAGTATAAATATATTCAGAAATGCATGAAAACCGAATTGGAAATATTTGAGACTTATCGGTATTTGGATCACGATAACTGGTACTAGCTATTTGGATCACGATAACTAGCTTTGGTAATTGGAAGCCTTGGTAATTGGAACATTGGAACATTACTTTTATTCTTCATTAATTTCATATCAAATTGAAGCCTTGAATGTTCCGAAAATTTGTAGTTGTTTAACTTGGGAACTAAACAATACGACGAAACAATACTATTCGATTGGTGCATATGTAAGATTATTTTGCCGGCGTAATAATTTAGTGGACTAATATTGTGTAACGCAGTTGCATTGATTAAGCGTACGAGATTTTGAAGAAGTTATGTCTTCTTTAAGAAAACAACATTCCATATTCATTAATGTAATAATCGATTCCACAATGTATGTATATTCATACTTATTCTACGTTATGAAAATTTTATTTAACGTTACGTTAAGGACAAGGCATGCACATATTTAATCAGATAAACATTTCACGAGAAAGTATATTCAGCTTACATAAACATGAGGGGACAACACTGGCTCTGAATGGAACTTGTTATTCGCTGTGCGGTCCACTGATAGATGATCCGCCGTTCAGGGGTTAAAGTATTGTAGTTTTTCAGTGTTTTAGAAAGACGAACACAAAATTGTATTAGGTTGGCCAGAATGTTCGTACGGCTTTTAATAAGCGCATACATAGCTTTCTTTTTATATAAAGAAATGTTTTTACTCATTTATCTATTGATCGTTGTTAATACATTGTTAACCGGAAATTTTGCAACGTCTGAGCCAAAAAACACGAGTTAGCTCGTGACCGATTAATAATGTGTTAAATATGAGCCGTTTATTTTGAAAGTGGCATAAGTCACTTTGTTTTTAAGTCGGTCACTTTGTTTTTAAGTCGATATATTTAAGGGTTTGCGTTTTAACACGTTTAAAAATATGGATGCTAACTTTCGAGAAGATTTACTTGTATTTGTTATCTCAGGATACTGATATTTTTCTCAGTATAAATAATTTCGTATAAACATTAAAAAATCACCACTTTTCATTACGGTAAATGGCTCAATAAAACCTTTTTACTTACGGCTCATGTAACCTTTTCCTATCTTTTACATAAAGGTTTATAAAAATCCTGTGCTTTCACGAAACGGAAAGCACGACCTTAAGCGGGTGTCATCCTGTTTTCGATGTGGTTTCTGATGGTTTGTTGTTCTGCCGCTATCACCTTCCGCGTCGAATATTATCGTAGACCATCCACTTTTTATCGCTCGTTGCCATCGGTTTTCAAATTGGATCTCATTCTTCACGTTTCTTGAGAAAATCACAAATGGAGATTCGTTCGATGAGATTTGCTTCGCTTAAATGTTGCGGAATCCAAAACCGAGTTGATGCAAATGATTTTCTACCGTTGTCTTTGTTATTTAAAGTTATCGTACGAGTTCTCGAGTTGGGTAACGAGCATTGTTACCAATTAGACATTTTATTTGGTTCTTTGTCAATCTTTCGTGGCCTCGGAACGAATCGTATTTTATTTTTTCAAATAAAATACGATAATGCGCCGAAAATGTTCCATGTTTCAATTTCCGTTATACTTGCCAACTGAACTATATTATCAAAATTCTTGAATATAATTCGAACTCGTCTAAAACAAACTGCTATTTGTTTTAGACGAAGAAACTGTGGTTAAGTTGCATTTGGAACGCCCAACATCAAGAATCGTAATTTCTGGCCAACTTAATACATTCAGAAAAGGTTCTGAAATTGCATTTTGTTATAAATAGACAGCGGTTTTGTATGCGAAATAATAATTGTCTATATCGATTGCATGAAATAGAAGCTGAAGTTCGTTCTTTCTTCGATCATTTTAATAGATTAAAAACGACGCATTGATATTTGAAAATTCTTTTAATATTTCTACTATTTCAAATTGCAACTACCCTCTGCTATAAACTACTAAACTTTGCAACTAACTTTTGCTATAAATGCATCAAATCCGCAGTTTAGTTGTAATCAAGTATGGTAGATGTATGAATGATTTCTTAGCGTTTGAGCTTTAACCTTATATTGCATGAATTTTTATGGCAAGTTAAACGAAATATATTTGGCTGTTTACTGCATTTCGATAATAACATGTAAAGAAAATTAACCAATCAAGTAAAAAGAACAATGTTATTTAACGATTTTTATGTCTGTTCCCATATGGGAATCTCGTACGCATACAAGTACAAAAAAATATTGTAAGTTTTTATTTCGTATGAAGATCATGAAAACAATTTTATTGAACAATTACTGGCATCTATCGGTGCTGGTCATAAATACAATGTTCTCGTATGGAACCAGCATACTTGCAATTTTCAATTTTTCTGAGCTCTTTAAGCTATGGAACATTTAAAATTAAGTTCGCAATCGGGAACGGTGTGCAATAAAGGGTTAAATCTAGAAATTTTAACACTCGGACGATGGACCATTTTTACAAGTGTACAATTGACGATGCCTATGATAAATTTTCAGCTTTTGTTCACGAATTTTTCAAAATATATTTCTAAAGATACTTGGTATAGACTTATTAGTCATTCTATTGTTCCTGCCGTAACAGCCACTTTTTTAATTCTTTGCACACGGAGAATTTTCTTGGATCACCTACCAAAAAGACGAACGAATTTACTAACAATATAGTAAGTAACGCTTTAAAGAAAATATGAAATGATAGAACGCAGAAAATGATTCGATTTCAATTAATATAATATATAAACATTTTGAATTTAATTTTAAATGCAATTTTAATATTATTTTCTAATTAATATCCTATTTTATGTATGGCATTCAAATACTCTAAAGTTAAGCCGGACTTAAATATAAACTTTATACTTTATACAATTAGTTCAAATAATAATTAATAAAATATGAAAATAATTGCAAAAAAATTCGTAATATAATAATTAAAATTAATAAAAGTAATAACAAAATAAAAGTTGATATTAAAGATATATTATTTTATAAAT